GCACCTCAGTGAACGCCGTGTGCCTGGTGCCGAGTCCCATTTTTGGTGATTTAACATAAAGCATCCATGAAACACTGTGACAGAGGCATCACTGTCCCCCATTTATCAGATGGCGAACCGAGGCTCAGAGCACTCGCATGACTCCTCTGAGTCACGCGTCTCCTGAATGAGCAAGCTGCGATGACAAGAGAGCCCACTGTCTTATCATCACCCTCATCATCACCTCCCTGGCGAAGAAATAATAATGAACTTGTGCGGCTGTTTATGTTCTTACATTGCCTTCCTCTGAATGTGCCCTGTTGCTGTTGACCTCTGGTCTCCGCCGCCCCTGCTGCTCCCTCCCTCCCGCTAGGTCCATGCTCTGTACGCCCTCACTGCGCCTCTCTTGGCCTTCAGATCCTACCTCCTCCAGGAAGTCTTCTGTGATGCACCTGCTCTTCCCTAGTGTGTGGAATGCCCTTCTAGTGTGCTACTGAAATGCCAACTTGCTCTGGGGCTGGAGAATGACCTCCACTGTCTGCATCCCTCACTACAGCAGGCTTCGATTTGCGATGCTCCTCCTGGATCCCTAGCCCCGCGGCCGGTGACTGTTGGAACGACTATCTGCCCGGCAGACACTGCCACTGGAGTCCTTTCCCCTCTGGCACCTGCAGTCCCATGAAGAGGTTCCCAACTTCATTTCTTCGAGACTTGTCAAAGCTCTAACGACCCCGTCCCATGGATCGGGGAGCATCCAGCATCGGCCCAGATCCAAGATCTTACCCTTTCCCTCTGGCTGTGTTTGCTGCTAACACTTGACATGCTGCCAAGGGCCCTGGGGTAGAATGCCCTACAGGGACGCAGTTCCAGGGACCCAATGTTACAGCCACTCTCCTGGCCCCAGTCCCTGCCCCAGGGGGTGGGCTCAGCCAGAGGAACCTGGCTGCAGCAGGGCATGGGGACCTGCCCTCTTGATTTATGAGGGCAAGTTGCACCTGCCCCCCTGTTCTTAGCACCCACAAAGCAACCCACCTGTTCTCTCCATCCCTGCTGCTGCCGCCCTGGGTCAGAGCCCCAACGCCATCTTTTTGCCTGGGACGTAGCAAAGGTCTAACTGGCCTCTCTGCCTCTAACCCGTCCCTCTCATTGTGTGAAATCCCACTCAGGGAGTGATTTCCCTCGAATGTCAATCTGACCATGATTAAAGCCCTTTGGCGGCTCCTCACTACCATTCGGTCAGTCTAAGCACGGCCAAGGCCCCTCCAGTCAGCTTCATTCTTTGTCACTGCCGACAGGCCTGTGCTCTAGAATGCCAACGACCAGCATGTTCTCCTTGGGCTCCCTACTTTTCAGCTGCTCTGCCCTTTACCTAGTACTTCCTTCGTCTTATTTGTTCAATTCCTTCAATACATATTTGTTAAGTGCTTATGATGTGCTTCCTTCTCTGCTAGAGAAAGGAGTCCCCAGGGGTGAACAAGACGGCAAAGTCTCTAAGGGTCTTATATACTGGTCTTCTATACGGGAAAAGAGATAGGAGACAGTTGCACGAACCAACTAATTGTGAATAGGAACAGGTGCTCTGACGAAAAGAACCTGGGGCACATCACAGTGACTTCTAGCTTTACTGGAGGGGCGGGGCAGCGCGGGGCAAGTTTCTGAGGATGCCTGGGGGCAGGGGGTTCCAGGCAGAGGGGAAGCAAGCACAAAGGCCCTGCCTTGGGAATGAGCCTGGAATGCAGAAGGAGCAGAGAGGTGGTGGGTGTGGCTGGTGCACAGTCAAGGGAACAGTGTTTGGGACAAACGCTGTGCAGAGCACTCAGAGAAGGCTGCCCTCTCGCTCCTGGCCCTCCCTGCACCCAGGGAGACCATCCTCTTGGCATCTCTAACACTTGTTACGTGGCAAGTGACTTCCGTATAGGGACGGGGTCAGCCTCTAAGTTCAACCCCGGTGCCCTACACGGTGCCCGGCAGATGGCTGGCATTCACACATGCTTGTTGAGCAAATAAATGCAGTCACAGATTATGAGAAGGACCACTGACACCGTCCCCACCCCGATGACCCACCAGGGGAAGCTGGTGGTAGGAGAAGCGGGCTGGGTCATGTCTAAAGGGAGTCCCACTTTGTGAGGCCCTGAACAGCGCACTTGGGGGACTCACTGATGGGGACAATTAACTGACGGCTTCATCCTGCCAAGGCTTTTTATATGAGTCTCAAAGGCAAGAGAATGGTTTTCATTTAGTGTTTGGGGGAGAAAGTGCCGAATGGGCACTCAGATATTGATGATGATGGCAAATACCGATTTGAGCAGGAAGGAAAAACCAGAACACAGCATTTGTTGAAACCTGTAAGTGCTTCCCAGAATCTGAGCCAGAGTTCAAGTGCTTAATGGTATTCTTTCCTCTACTTCCAGTGGGAGTGAAGGGCAGACACCGGCAAAGGCATGGAGGGTGATGAGGGGAAGGGCCGGAGCTTGAGGGGACCCCACTGTGCCCTGGGGGCTGAATACCGGAGGGCAGGGTGGCAGGCTTCTCTAAGCACTCTCCACAGCTGTTGTCCCAAATACTGTCCCGGTAAAGAGCCAGGTAAGTGCGTCCTCCAGACCTTCCACAGACACCCTCCCCTGCCACTGGGAGCCAAAAAGAATTCTCAAGACGTCCAACATAAGAATATAACCAATAACAGTAATAGTAATAAAACAGAATTCTGACTCTTTCACCTGCTCACAATATCCTTCCAACCTGCTTCCTGCCTTCCTGATGCTCAGCTTCTGCTGTTCTCCTCCTCCCCCTCCAGCCCCCGGGGAACCTGGCCATCCTGCAGGTCCTCATACCGGCCCTGCCCCAGGGCCTTTGTACTGGCCACACCCCCCTACCTGGAATGTACTTTCCCTGCTCTGCCACCTCCCTCCCCCTTTCCTGAGGTATAATTGGCAATATAAAAAAATTACACGTCATGAAAATAATTTGGTGAGTTTGGACTTATGTTACCTTTGGGTTACTTTCACCACAATCAAGGTAATAAACATATCCATCGCGGCCCCCCCCACCCTGCCCCGCAAAGTTTCTTAGGTTTTTTTCTGTGTGTTACGAGTGTGGTCAGAACACCTGACATGAGATCTATCCTCTTAAAATGTTTAAGTGCACCATGCCCTGTTAACTACCAGCACTACGTTGTACAGCAAATCTCTGGGACTTACTCATGTGGTGTAACATGGTGTAAACCGAACAAGGGCTCCCCATGACCCCGCTCCCCATCCCCTGGCAACCAGCATTCTGTTGTCTAGCTCTGTACGTTTGCTATTTTAGATGCCTCCCCCGTGAGGCGTCATGCAGTATTTATCCTTCGGTGCCTGGCTTCTTTCACTTAGCCTACCGAGATCTCCCTGGCCCACCCATGTTGTCAAAGGGTAAGAGTTCCTTAGTTTTTAAGGTTGGACAGCGTTCTATTGGACACATGCAGCACATGTGATCCGTTCATCTGTGGGTGGGCAGGGGGGTTGTCTCCACCTGCAGCCAACATGAGTAAAGCTGCAGTGACCAGTGCACATACTGTCTTCGGGGATCCCGATCTCAAGTGTTTGGGATACATCCCGGAAGTGGGACTGCTGGGTCATAGCACAGTCCTCTTTGTCATTTCTGGGGGAGCCTCCCTCCTGTTCCGCACAGCGGCCTCGGCATCGTGTATTCAACCAGTAATGGACAGCGTTCCAATTTCCCCACGTCTCACCAATTCCTGTTATCTTTTGTTCTTTGGTAAACAGATATCCCAACAGGTGTGTGGAGGTAGCTCATTGTGGCTTTGATTTCTATTTCCCTCACCCCTTGCTCTTCTATGGCTGGTTCTTTCTTGTCATTCAGGACTCAGAGGGAGCATCACCTCCTCGGAGGAGCTCCCCCTGCCACCCCACGACCCTGCAGACCAGGGGGTAGCCCAGCTGCTCATTAATATGCCACCATGGAGCCCGGCCACTGGCTGATCACTTTCCCTGAAGGTTCATATAGTTGTCAACTGTTTCCCCCCGAGAATATTAGCACCACGACCGCAAGGACCAGTGTCCTTTTGTACCTGTGAGGGCTCAGTGCTCAGAACAGGAAGGCCCTCAGTAAATGCTCGCCTAATAAACAAATTACTTGTGTGTCTAATACTGAGGGTCAAGGAAAGGGAGGAAATACTTATTGAGCATCTGACATATGGTCAGGGCTGAGCCAGGTGCTTCAAATGCAATTTCGTACTTAGTCTCACAACACGCCTTAAAGTTTTGCGTCTCCATTTGGTGGTTGAGGAAACGGAAGCACAGAGAGGCTGAGTAACTTGCCCGAGGTCACCTACTTGGTAACTGGACAAACCCAGGTCAGCCTGACCCGCCATGTCCTCCCTGCCTTTTTCCTGACAGTGTGCTTCTTCCCCATTTCCTGATCCCCAGAACTTGAAGTCACTCTCAACTTGGCTCCTTGCTGGCTGTGAGCAACCCGCTGAACCTCCCTGTGCCTCCATCTCTCCACTCCCACTGGGGAAAGAAAGAGGGTCTCTGTGAACATCAGATGAGATATAACAGGAAAAAATTATAAGCAGTGAAGAAATAGGAAGATACAGGTGGTAGCTTTGCCTGTAACCAAGTACCTAACACTTTCTTCGCCTAGGCGAACCCTCCAGGAGCCAGTTACTAGTGAAGATCTTTGATGCCACCCACGCGCTGACCACACTGAATCCTCCTGACTCTCCCGCATGGGTGCCATGTCCACAAGGACCTCAGAGTTTCCCAGCTATGGAGAGACACGCTGTCTACTGTTTCACGGGAGCTCTGGCTCCGGCTTCCTCCGCTTGGAAACCCCCTCCCGACTCCACCCCGTGCAGGCCGAGCGTCCCTGCTCTGCACCCACAGCAATGAGCATGGAGGGGAGCTGCTGATGCACCTGTCTCCCCCAGCAGCTGGGACGCCCAGGGCAAGCGCGGCGTCCTGTCCACCTCGGGCGAGCCCGGAGCCTGGCGTGGGGTTGGGGGGTCCCTGCGCCCCGCTTACGTTTTCACTGTTGACATCAGCTTCACTGGGGCAGCCGAAGAGCTCTCGCCTCAGGAGGTTGCCGTCGTACTCCAGGAAGGTCAGGTAGAGGTTGCGGAAAAACTCCACGTGCTTGTTCTTCACCCGCAGCTTCTTGGGGGAGTTCCAGTGGATGACCTGGCAGGGCGACAAGGAGGCAGGAAGGCAGGGAGGACCTCGCGCTCGTGCGCAGACTCGGCTAGCCACCGGTCTAAGCATCATTTGTGGGCATGTCCATTCACTCACTCACTCACTCACTCACTCATTCCTTCACCATTCACGGTGGTGGTGGGTGGTGGGGTGAAGAGGAAGGGCGCTGAGGCCGTGCAGCGTGGTTTCAAATCCTGCCTCTGACCTTGGGCAAGTGACTTACTCTCTGTGCCTCAGTTTCCTCGCCTGTGAAATGGGGAGAGCAACAGCTCCTGCCTGTACCAGCGTGGAAGCTTCTGTCTCTCAGCTCCCAGCCTGCTTTGCGATGCTGAGGTCGGGACTCTGCAAGCCCTACTTCTACTTTGCCGGCCACCTCCCGTTAGATACTGCCACCTGGGGCCGCGAGACGGAGACTGGGAGTCTGGGGGTCTGGGGGAGGAAAAAGGAACGTGCCCCCCCACCCCGGTGCTTCCTGTTCCTGCAAGTGCCACCCTACCTCCCTTCTTCAAGGCGGGCACTGGGCACTTCCTTCCTGTAGCAGCAGCTAGAATCGTTCTGCAGCTTTCTCCGCGCTCAGGACGAGCTTCCCGGTCCGCCTCTGGAGCTGCCTGCTGGCCCCCAGCCCAGGTTGTGATGCTTCCCACCCCTCCCTCTGCTCCTTCTGCTCCAGGGGCGGGAGCTGTTTTCCTGTGATTTTCTAGTTTTGTTTTTTGGTTACCAAATCAACACTTTCTGTCTAGTTGCCATTTTTAAAGATTAAATTCTCTGTTCGGATAATTGGTATGGTTGCTGCCTCCAGCCAGGACTGACGGATGCACCGTGTCAATACAGCTGCTGTGAAAAATAAACTTGTTCATATGTGTAAAGCGTGCAAGTCGTGTCTGGCAAAAGGTGAGCGCTCCATAAAGGCTGGCTAGTAAGTGCTTACGGTGGACCAGGTTGGGAGGGGGCAGCGGTCTCTGCTGACGGTGCTCGCCCTTGGTTGGCAGGCGCTTGGCCAGAGACCTGTCCACAAACGGCACAGGATGTGATGGTGGAGGGAGGCTCAAGGGGAACGGGAGCTCTGCAGCAGTAGCTCTAGCAATGCACGGGCTGGGGCTTGAAGGATGAACCAGAGTTTCCCGGGAGGCAGGGGCCGGCTGGCACAGAGGGGATGGCGGTGGCACGGTCCAGGCAGAGGGGGGTGGGAGAGGAGGCTGCGGAGGTGAGCGGGGCGCGGGGAGAGCCTGGCTCCACGCAGGTCATGCTCAGAGCTCAGCTGTGGCGCTGGGGAGCTTACGGAGGGGGAGATTACTAACTCCGGGTTTCAGTAAGATGCTCTGATGTAATGGACAAGCCAGGAGTGGGGGCGAGGGAGGCCAAAAGAAGAGCCAGCAGGGACAGCTCATGCCCTTGGCCGGGGAGCTGTCTGGGGCGGGGGGCGGGGGTGGGTCCTTTACCACCAGGATTACGTCATGGTCTTTTAATGCTCACGGTGACCTGAACAAGGAATGCAATTTTAGAGATGAAGAAACTGGAGAAATGACTTGCCCAAGGCCACAGAGTTGGTAAACGTGGCAACGGGGATTCAAACCTAAGTTTGAGTAAACCTGATTCCAAAGCCCCTGTTCTTCTGTCCTGGAGAAGCCAGGTTTTTAAAACTTCCCTGTTCATGCCTGGTCACATTACAGAAGAAATAAACTAGCTCTCACCTTCCCCCCCACTCGCCTCCCATGGTGGGGGGATCAGCATAGCTGACACTGAGACAGAGGAAGGGAATGGGGTGTCCAGAGTTCGGTCCCTTCCTGGCTCCCTCCTTTAGCCACATTCTGTCTGCAGGCGCCTGAACAGGGCCACCATTTGGAGAGATCTGGAAGGCCCCCTCTCCCAGGGTCCCCTGGATATATGGCAGCCACAGACAGCCCTTGCAGCTGGCTGGGTAATACCGCTCTGCAAGACCAAGTCCCTCTCTCATGGCACAGGCAACAACAGGAAACCTATGTGGTACAAACCGCACCCCCTGCCCTCCCATGACCTGCATGGTGCAATGGCAGAGCAAGACCCAGGGACGTCAGGCCAGCCTGACTGTGAATCTCAGCTACGCTCTTCATTAGCTGTGTGGGTCCTTGGGCAGCTGGTCTTATTCCCTGCGGCCTCGGTGTCTTCACGTGCAAGGTGGGAACATGCCATCCCGACTCCACAAAGTCGTTACGAGGCTTAAAGAAATGCCTAGCCCAGTGCCTGCAGGCCAGGGTGGCCCCGAATTCTGTGGGTTCCCTTCTTCCCTCAAAGATGGCAGCAGCAGCCTGCCTACCAGCATTCTGCGCCCCTCTCTCCTCCTGCCAGCAGGAAGTCCACTGGAGCAGTGAGCAAGGAAGCGTGTTTAGCATCCAGGACAGTGCAGCGGGGCCAGCAGACCCTCCCTGGGAGGAGGCCACTTGGCAGCGCCTGCATTTCAGGGAGGGAGGAGCATGCAGGGTGCATTCCCTTCCTGTGCCTTTTGAAGGATGCGAGAGGGAAGGAGAGGGGAGATTCTCCCCCGAGAATACACCAACCTGGGCATGAGAAGGTCCTGGCCACGCATTAAAATAATTGCATGCGAGGTGGTGTCACTCACACCCTGTGGGGATCATGTCTTTGCTGCAAGAGATTTTGGTGCTTGCCAAGTGCTGAGCCAGCAGGAAGGCTGATGGATGTCTATCTGACTCAGGAAACTTGAACTTCCTCAACAGGGAGAAACTTACACTAAGGAAAAATAAGGGCTGGCCTGTGGGTCCCCGGACAAACAAATCTTCACTCCTAGTGCACAAATCTGCCAGGCACTTTGGAGACGCTGTGTCATTAAATCCCCCAAATATTTGGATGCCACTGTCCATTTTATGAAGACGGTCCCTGACTTGTTTGAATCTCACAGCTGGTAAGCAGCAGAGCTGAGACACGAAGCCAGCTCTCAGCCCGAAACCCCAGGTTTCTTACTGCTATTGTGTACGGCATCAATGGGCTGAGCACTTTGCAGATGAGGGCCGTGAGGCTTACAGAGGAGGAGGCTTACCTGAGATCACATGGTGAGTTTGGACCAGGTCAAGACTACGACGAGGACCAGGTCTGTAGGTGCCCCCGACCCGCTCCAGGCCACCCCTTATCCCTCCATATCTCATTCTGTTCTGTGCCCGGGCGGGGATCTGGGTCTGCCTATTGCCTCTGGGTAGATACTGGTGCCTGGTGTTCTAGAAAAAGCAGCAAAAGGTAAAAGAAGGTAGGGGGAGAAGATGGTGGGATCGCTGGCAGGCTAAAGGGGATTTGGGAAAACCCTTTGCAACCTGGCTGCCCTGGGACAGGGAAGCCCACTCAAAGGCTTACTCAAAGATCCTGGTGTTTGCCAAGTGCTGAGCCAGCAGGAAGGCTGAGGGATGTGCATCTGGCTCAAAAAACTGGAGTTTCCCCAACAGGGAGAAACTTAATGTATATTCAGATTTACCTTTTTCTCCTTCCTGTGCTAGGCTCTAGAGAGGTAAATAATAGCTATGTTTACCTAATACCCACTATACACTAGACATCGGGCCATGGCTGATGTGCGTGCGTGTGTGATGTTCTCACATTCAATCCTCAAAACAACCTGGTAAGGTTGTTTCTATTATCCCCATTTTATAGACGATAATGCTGAAGCTGAGCCTAACGCAGGGTCACTCAACTAGTAAGGAACCAATCCTAATACAAAATCAGGTCCGTGTTGCGCCCAAATGTTTTTCTTTCTACCACATCATTCGTTCGTTTGATACATATTAAAAGGAGCACTGAGCGTGTGCCAGGCTGATAGGGGCCGTGAATGCAAAGATGGACACAAGGATCAGGACTCTTTCTGGAACTTACAACTGAGAGAGAGAGCAGGATATAAAATAACTGTCCATTTTAAATTACAGGTGTGATATGTTCTCTTAAGGAAATATTGTTAAAGAGAGGTTGTCAGTGATGGTTTCTCGGCAGGGCCACCTCAAGTATAAAGAAACCAAGGCCCAGAGGGAGAAAGTGACTTGCCCAGAGTCACACAGCAGAGAGTGAGAAGTCGTGCCCACATTCTGTCTCCCAGGGCACTGTTCCTTCCACTAAACCGTATGCCTGCTTCGGAAAATCCAACTCAGGATTAGTATTGCTGATAATTTTGATCAGCGCTTGTCTGACTACTAAGAAATGTCATTTCCTGGTCCCTTGAGGGACAGCATCACCCATCATTGCTGGCTTGGGGGCAGCAAGCTGGTGGTGTAGATGACATTTGCTGACAAGCTTTCACACACGAGATGGAGTGACACTGGAGAACGTGTCCTGAAACAGATTTTTGCAAGGAGCTGGTAAGTGCGTGTGAGTCTACCAAGGCTTGTGGAGAAAACCTATCATAACTTATTCCACTTGCCGAGGCACATTAGCCTGGCAATCATAATTATTATCAGGAGCTAACATATACAGGATGTTTGCTACGTGCCAAACACTGCTCTGAAAACTTCGCTGTCATAGCTCATTTAACACACTCATTCAAGGGTATGGGTGATAGTCTCCTTATCCCATCTTACAGATGGGAAGTCCAGCAAGGTGCCCCAAGTTACATGGCTAGGAAGCGGGGCGGCGGTTAGGATTTGAACCCAAAGAGAGACATTAGGGATCTCTCTCTCTCATTTCTCTCATGTCAGTATCATTACATGACTCCATTCACAGCCATGAATATGAGATTTACAGAAGAATTATGGTATCATAAAAGAAGCCTACTTTCCCCTTCCGAGTACAGGGACCTCGCCCATCCCTGGGATACTGAGGCTGCAGGACGGTTTAGGACTTCTCAGATATAGGGGCTGAGCCTCCAGCTTGGCAGGAAGCAGAGAAGGAGGCATCCAGGGTGTGTGCCAGGAGGGCTGCAGAAGCTGCCAGGCAGCAGGGGCCCCAAGGGTGGGAGCTGATTGGATCTGCAATGTCTGTGAAGGCTGAGTATATGTGCAGACTTGGTAGTCAGCCTGCAGTGAGCCAGAGAAATTGACAGAAATGGATTACTGTCCAGGAAACTTAACCATCATCTGGGAAGACAGCAGAAGTCAACTCGATTAAAGGAGGAACATGAGACTATCGTCCATCAAGGAAAAAGCATTTCAAAGGTAGAAATGAGACCTCGGTACGAGGACAAGGCTATGGAAAGAGCTCAAAAATTCAGCTTCTGAAGCACTCAGAATCCAGAGGGTTCATAAAAATAACTTACGGCACCAAAATGCTAAGACATCAGAGCCCGAGTATAAGTGTCAGGTGAACAAGAACATGGGCCTCATGTCTTCCAAGTCCAGGGGATCAGGGGTATCTGGAAAATGGGTCTGTCTCAAGACCTCCCCTGATTTTCTATGACCCACAGAATTTTCTACAACCCTCCTTAGCCTGGTAGTTAAGCCCGTTGCAAACTGGCTCCCTTACAATCCCTGTTCTATCTCCAGGCTGTAAGAACTTCCTGGTATTTCTGGAACCTGTCTTTTATGACTCGGTGCCTTTGCATATGCTCACTGCCCTCCCCAGAACATCCATTCTTCTCTACCATGTGAATGCCTGCTTGTTGTCCTTCATGGCTGAGCTCAAACGCATGTCTCTTCTGTAAATCTCTGCCTGACTGCTTGTGGCAGAAGG